GTCTCTTTACAGGAAGTTAGATGTTGTGCAGCCTAACGCTCCAACAGAGTATTTTCTATGTTTATTATTTATGATAAGATGTCACATCAGCTCAATAGTCAAAGAAAAGGTGCCAAAAGGAGAAAAGTGTGCATAGGCTATATATATATATTCACTATATGGCAACCATTACTCAGATTTTGTCTTATAAGGTGGTTAATTTGCTGTCACTGAATATTTTGGGTACATGATGGACATTATTAGCTGCCTTAGCAGTTGAGGTTTAGACAATTCCAGTTTTGAGGGCCGGAATCCAACTTTTAGTTTAATCCTTGGTCCTTCACACCTGACTTAAATGGCTGCATTACCTCCTCTACTGTATCTGATTCAGGTGTGCTGGACCAAGGACACGGCTAAAAGATGCAGGATACCAGCTCTTAGGGACTGGAATGGTTTGCCCCTGGGCAGCTAGTATGTAATGTACCAAATTCTGTGAGCTTGTCCACGTCATGCCCTCTGTGGACAACTTTTGGATTGGAAGATTGGCTATCACTGCGTGGTATAAGTGGGATGTTTGCAAATATCATGTATCTTATAAAATCTTCAATATCTACAATGGGAAACAGTTTACAGATCCTTGCTTAGGCCAGAATCACTATTAATTCAAATTCAAACACATGTTATCTATGCATTTTACAGAGACAATTCGATCAGATCATACAGCTAGATTGGTAAAGTTTTCTATTCAATGAAAACCAGCTGATTACAGAGACTCACTGAATTGCAGGGCATGCTCCTGAATGAAAATGAGGATAAGTGTTTGTTTTTCACAACTTTATTTGAATTTTCTATTTCAAAAACAACTATCACATTCAGCTTTATAATAATATATTTCATTATGCTTCAAACACAGACTTCAATTGTACATTATTGGTCATTTAGATACTACCGTACACCCACCAATTAACCCTTTGGACCCCGAGCCTCATTACTATCTCAGATTTTTTTTTTTCTGTTTTGTTTGTGTATACCTCAAAACTATGACTTAACACAGTGGTTCCCAAAGATTTTCTTCTGGGCCCCCCTTTGGATTACAAAAAAATTTCCACGCCCCCCCCCCCAAAAAAAATAAAATAAAAAATCAACTGGGCACACGTTCAACCAGATATAATAAACCTATACACATATTTTGTTTTCAAACTCCACTGAAGTTTATTTCACACTTCAGGTTGCAACAAAACAAACTACACCATCTTTACAGTGGAACACTTTTGTGTAACTGTATTTTTTTCATAGTTCTATACTGTAGATTAGAAGAGGATTCTTTGTTGTCTGTGTTATTTTAAACATATTTCTTTTTTTTATTTGTAACAATATTTAACTTTGCTATCATCAATACATTAAAAAAGCCTCTGTGCAAAATTGAGTGAAAACATTGAACAGCTCCCTGAGAGTTTTTTCTTTGTACTTTAATCCTCCCATCTTTTCAGTGGCTATAGTGAGCCTGTTGGTGGGCCTGGTCTTTGGAGATGTAGGAGTAAACAGAGAAGGGGCCTGAATGATTCACTCTGCTAAGACAGAGGGCTGTGTAAGAGTTCTGGTTCTGTTATGTTTTTCTTTTGGATGTTCAGTTTTGCTTTGCTCCTTGTTTTCTAGTTTTTTATGGTTTATTTCTTAGTTTATTGTGTTCTTTGTTTTTTTTTTCTCAGTTATTGTCTTAGTCTTGGTTCTGTTATGTTTTCTTTTGAGTGTTCAATTTTGCTTTACTCCTTTTTTCTAGTTTTGGTGGTTTTATTTTTATTTTGCTGTGTTATCTGGTTAATTCTTAGTTACTGTTTCAGTCTTGGCTCTGTTATGTTTCCTTTTTTTTCAGTTTTACTTTTGCTCCATGTTTTATTTTGTTGTGTTTTCTAGTTATTTTCAGTTTTCTAGGTTTTTATTTATTGCCCTCTGCTGCCCTTTTGTTTTCTCCTTTTTCCCTATAGCTCATTTTTTGTTCTGCTCTGTGCACACCTGTTCCCAATCTGCTCGTTAGTCTTCTCTTTGTCTCAGTCTCCCTCAAATACTGTCGCTGTTTTGTTCTTCTTTGCCGGGTCCTCATCAAAGCTCCTCCAACTCCGTCTCTCTGAGCCTTCCTCCTTGTGATTTTGATCCCCCTGATGTCTCTTTGTTTTCCGGTACATTTTGACTAGTTTTCATGTTTTGATTTTTTGATTTTTGGACTCCTGGTTTCATGTTAGTTTGGACTCTGTTTTCGTTTTTGGATTACCTGCCTCTGTTTTTGGTATTCTCGTTATTAAATCCTCAAGAAATTCACCTCTGCCTCCCTGCCTCTGTTTTTGGGTAAACAAACCATAACCAAATCGTGACAGGCTGGAGCTTATCTACAGGCTGCTAGGGCTCAACAGATGGGCCCTAGGCTCTCTATGGGAGTAGTCCTGTTAAAATCTGAGCCAAACTCTGCACTTTTGTTGATAAACCTGCAACCTGCACTTCAAGACAGTCCTCTTACTAAGGCCAGCATAAGTGACTATGTCATTTAATTAGCTGTGTCGAAGCTTATCAAAAGTGTCTGTATTCATATAAAATGGAAGAAATCCTTGGAGAGCATTTTGTATTCAGACTTTTAAGCAAAAAAAAAAAAATCCCTGCAATCCTAAGTGCATTTAAATTTACATGAAGGTGCAGCCAGGTTTGCATGGTTTGGAATAATTTGTCAGACAAATAGGTTAATTTGTTTGTTACAAAAATTCAGCAATGGAAAGAGCTCTTTTTGTTTACATCATTATCACCACCCAAGGATATCTGAAGCAGTCTCTTTTGAGGAAGCCCTCATCTGTAGTAGTTAAGGCTTTGGGAAGATTTATCTTATACAGCTCTTTCAATTTCTAACACCTTAACGTTCTTAAATAATCGTAGTATAGTATGGATGTTTTTTATTCAAGCCTTCAGTCCAATATATGCCTGATTAAGACAGCAAAAGGCCCCTGGATGATTTTGCATTTTTAGGGATGGCAACTGCCACACGTACAGACTGTAGACTCCCAAAGTTTAGTACTGCCACAAACAGAGACATACCTTAACTGTTACAAAGAATATCTATGTTGGATTCCGATTTTCAGCTAAATATGTTTCTGTATACAGTGGGAGCTTTGTAAATCTTAGCAAAGCATCTGTTTGCTGCACTATCAGAAGTTTATTTTATCAGAAGTGTCTTTAAAAGGATAATGTGTGGATCTTCATAACCCTCTTGACCACAGAAGAATGAACTACATAAGGAGGAATAATACAACATGGCAGGTAACACAAATTGGGCTCCATAGCACAAAACAAACTTTAGAAAAGGTGGAATATATATATATAAATTTTTTTTTTTTTTAACAGGATTCCCTCATATTATTGAATGTAACACCCCACTGGAGAACATGAGGACACTTCGTTAACAGAAAATTACCTGTGATTCTGAATGTGATACTCAATGTGATTCCAGAACGGGGTTCTCCCTGGATCCCTTTGTGGTGGGCCACACTTTGTGCAAGACAGTGAGGCTTTTTATAATAATTAAAAAATAAGTAAGAGGATCAAATATGTGTACAGGTACCATCTAAGTTAATAGTAAAAGTTATTTATGCAATATAGTCAACATTTTATCCAGCTATTACCAGTCTGCAACATGTTGATATTGAATCCTAACCTGCTGCCAGCTCCTCTTTTCTGTTTGGATGTAGAAATGATAATAAAACAAGAAAAAAGTGACAAATTATAGCTGCTGCTTGACTTTTTTTTATACCAGATGTGATTCATGGTGTATCTGGGAATTGATCCCATCGCTCACATCTAAGACTTAAACCACTAGACCACAGGGGGACTAAATTTTAAGGTAAATGAGGTATATACATGTATCACTATTAAAATGCACACATCTTAAAATCTTAGCTTCCAATGTGAATTTTTGAGTTGATAGTTGTTAATTTGAGAAAAATGTTTCAACCATGACATTTTCAGTTAGGAGAAGTAATCAGGAAATGTAAATTTTATGCTATTTAGGTGTTAAGTCAAGAAGTCAAGAAGAAATATTCTGATATTTTGTATATATGATTTATATATTTCATTATTGTGTAGGAATACCTACTAATATATATTATCTTAAGTGAAAGGAAATAATTGTATACAAAATGTTATTTTGTGAAATTAATTTCATCACATGCAGCTCATAGCTTGTTGTCATTTTTGATGGCACCATGAATTTTGGCAAAATTGTGGCCATATTACCCGTTCTCTGCATGATCTTAGCACTGATGACTGGATTATTGGTTTAGTTAATTTACCCGCCTAGCTTCGCCCAGTTTTCATTTTCACTCATCACTTCTGTTACAGTTCCTATTTAAACTGCTTGGTCCCAGCCATCAGTGCCAGATTATTTGAGTCATGGATGAGAGTTCTCTAGCATATCCATTGTGTTATCCTGATTGCCTGATCCTGTTGAGTTTTTGCTCCTGGACTTCTGAGATTGCCTGCCCCTGTTCTGATCTGTTTGCCTGACCTGTCTTCGGACTTCTTTTGGATTCTGCCTGATAGCGACCTTGTATCTGTCTCCTGAGCCCAGCTTGGATATTCCCTTTGGTACCTCTTTGGATCTCTGATCTTCTGGCCTTCTTCCTCCTCGACACCAGCTTTGGATTACATACTTACTTCTGCTCAGGTTTGTTTTGGAATTGAAAGTTTAATAATCTTCAGTTCATGGTTTTTTTCCCGCTTTGGACCTTGGACTTTGTCTTTGTAACATTCGTTTAACTTTTTTTTTTTTTTTTTAATGTTATCTGTTTTGTAGTATGAGACCAGCATCCTTGTCTTTAAATCAAACAGTGTACAGTTTAATTTAAAGCTCGCTGGTTTAATCACCACTGCTAAATGTTCTTTGACCCTATGTAGAGCCGGTGGAAGTTGCCGGTGTCAGTTACTGTTGGCTCCACCTCTGCCTCACATTTACTCAGTTTTTTTTTTTTTTTTCTTCTGACAAGGAGGGGCTTTCGACAGAGCTGAAAATGAAAGCAGATAAGATTCACGAATAAAAGTCTGAGGAAAGAAAATCTGATTCATTGGGTTAAGCAGATCAAGTCCAAGATGCAGCTTTATGGAACTCTGGTCCTATTTCTGACCTTCTCTGTTGGTAAGATTAAAGTTTACTTCTTAGCAGCTTCTAATCTCATGATGAATGTAACTCAAGTAAAGATAATGTGGATTTTTGCAGATTTCCTTTTTCCCTGAAAAAAACTCTAGCATTATTCTTGGTTAACAGCAAAGGTTAAATGTTTTGCTTTAAACCTTACATTCAAAATATTTCTTCTAGAATTTGAGGAAAAGATATATTGTTTTTAATAAATCACTTTATTGCGAACATTGCACACATAGAGCACATGTTAAATTGTTGTTTCTTGTGCTTTTACTTAGCATGTGGATTGAGATGCTACTCATGTACAGCAACTGAGCCTGAATCCTGCACAGACACCAAAGCCTGTACTGTGATTTTTAACCGATGTTATTCTTTCAAGGTAGAAGATGAGCTGCTAAATATCAGCGGTACTCTGCTGCTAAAATATTAACAACAACAAAAATATATATATATATTTTTTTTTTTTATGAGCACCATTATGTTCATTGTGCAATATATCTAAAATAATGAGTTTTCCTCTTTTGCCTTTTAAGGAGTGAATATGGTTACCAAAGGCTGCATGGCCAGCGCAACATGCACTGATCCTATGAAGTGCTGTGAAGGGGACCTGTGCAATGGTGCCATACCTACTGGGCCCGGTCTCATCCTGCTGCTTCTGTCTTCAGCCCTGATGATGCTTTTTGTTTAACTATGCCTGTTTTCGAGAAATATGCTTTAAAATAACATACCCAAAAGGATTTGAATATATCTCAAGAACTACAGAGTTTATTTTACATTTTTTGGTATCAAAATAAAGGCAAGACCCCAGAGAATATGTTACAGGTCTAAAAACCATCTTGGGGCGAGTGCTGAGGACACAAATTTGGGTCCTCATGTTATGAAAAGGTTAAGGCTTTAAAATGTTTGGGTTTTTTCTGCATTGGTCTAGTGTTTGATCTCTCAGCAGCTATGCTGAAATGACAATAAACAAGAAGCCAGGACAGACATGAAGCATTTTTATTCATCATGTTATACTAATCAATATGATTAATGTCTATAAAGACATCTATGTCTTTTGATGTTATAAATGAGCAAGTTCTATTTTGAATATTTGAGTTTTAATATATGAAGTATATTAGACAGTTTCACTGGTTAAATTTTACATGAGGAACAGGAAGAACTTGTGCAGTTTATGCAGAAAATACAAGTTAGTCCACAAATTAAGCTATGTGTAATAAAGAGGGGTTTCATGTGGAACCAGTTTAAGATATGGGTGGTCTTCTAAGGACAGATCAATAATTTCATACATGCTAAACTGTTGATGAATAGATATTAATATCTGAATCAACTAAGCAAAATATTAATAAATAAATCATCATAAGGTTATCCATAAAGAATTAACTTAATTTGGCAAAAAGCTGACAAAAGAGAATAAAACCCTTTAACAAAACTGGATGCAAAACTGATTTAGTTAATTGTGTCATTTTACAATTTTATGCTAAATTTAAGGTTCAGTGGTAAAAAAAACGAACAAAAAAAGATATTTTGTTTTGCTTTTATTTTGTATCTTTAGCCCTTAGGTTTTTTATTAATTTGCAAGCAAGATGAAATGTCGAGCGATTTGTGTGAATTCAATAACTCCCAAAAATACATCTCACCAGAGGCCAGCAGATGCATTAGCCTTAAACAGAATGTTTCAGACCAATGAAGTGCAGTACGTATCTGACATTGACGCCTCAACTACATATGGAAGGCTGAAGCAAAACAAAGATGGCTGGCCTGGTTATAGAACAGAATAGAATTGAAAATCCCTTTATTGTCCCACAATGGTAAATTGTGGTTTTTACAGCAGCAAAAGATTATAGCACATTAGTGGTCACACTAATGTGGACCTTAAAAAGTTTATCAAAATAACAGAATAAGTGACAGAGTTAAAAAAAAAGAAGAAAAAAATATTATTATTTTATTTTTTTTTTAGAAACAAGCAGAAGGAAGAGATTTTTGCCTTTTCTGGAACGTGTTTGTGCTTTCCCTCTGCCCAGATTTGGTTGTGAAACAAATCAAGAATTTATTACGTCACACCTGCCACTGCTGCTGTGCTAAAAGCTCAACCAGTATGGCAGGCTGTTTTAACATAAAATCTGCTTCTTCTGACTATGCATAATTACTACTAAGACATCAAATAAAATGTTTTTGAGTGGGAAAAACAAAATTTTAATTATCCTGAATTATAATTTAAGACACCGGTATCTGAAATTATAGTATGACCTTCAATCACATTTTGGAGAGTCAAAATTTCTTTTGATATACCTTAAATGACATCACTTGGAGGTTGGAAAGTTCAACAGACTTTAAAGTCAGAATATGGTTCTACAGAATTTTGGCCTCACTGACAATTTTAAAGTTTTGTCATTAAAAGTGAGGCATCTTTTGGGAATTTGAGATGACTTCATTCCATCATATCAACAGTAATTTGCGTTGGTTACTTTCTCAATAGCAGAATGTTTTGACATGTTTCACTGATAAAGCTTCTGAAAAACTACATCCAATTTTTTTTTACCCCCGTTCTTAATTGAGCAGCTTTCCAACTGTGAATTGAACTTACTCGAAAAGGATAAGAGGATAGAGAACGGAAGCAAGTTTGACTATGTCAGGGGTCGACAACCAAAACTGCTGAAAGAGCAATATTGGACCCAATAAATAAAAGAACTCACCATGCGCCGTTTCATTGCGTGCTGCTTCACCGTGCGGTTTAAGTTTTGTTACATTGATGAAATTATAGAAACACGATAAATGAATCTTTCTATGGTGGACGTGTTTATGTTGGGAGGAGTTGATTGAGTCATGAGGAACCAAGCAGGAACTGACATCCATCAGGGCAGTGCTCTCTAACCCTGACATCCCACACTCTCTGTCCCAGTGTTCCTTGGTGTTTTTTTTTTGAGGATTTGAGGAAACAATTGAAGAAATTTTACATACCTGCATCAGAGCACTACCTGTTCGATCTGTGGAAGGTTTTCCATCCTTGCAACAAAGATAACAGCAGGAGTGGGGTTTGGAAATGCAATCCACTTCTTATATCTATCTTAGCGCTCCTCTACTTTATCCAGATGTTCTGCAATCGCACTTTTTCTCTCACTCCAAACTTGGCGGTCGGCTGAATATTTATCATGCCTACCCTTGAAATGCCTTTCCAAATGACTTTTTTTTTTTTTTTTTTGACAACCTCTCATTACAAAGCAAAAATGCAGGCAATCCTTCTGCAAATGATTCGGTCGATTTTTCTTTTAATTCTCTGTTCCCATCAGCTATCTATCTTTTTTTCCTTTTGGGATCCATGGCCTGAGAAATACCTGCCGCTTTGTCTGCTTGGCACCGTGCCGCACTTAAACGTGAGTTGCAGGCTATATACTTCAAACCGGGAGAACGAAGTGTTCTCCCAGAAAGGGAAGCTTAGTGCCTTAACCAGCTATGCGGTTTCAGGTGACTGATCACCACCCGCAATAAAACTGCCCCCTCCCTCTTTGTATGTGTCCGATAATAAAGGCAGAAGACAGAGATGAACTGGCAGATTTCAACAAAGACATTCAGGGAGTGTCATTCTCCTACTGGTTCCACTGTCCCCTTCTGCAGAAAAGTTACCTGTGTTGGTTAACCATAACCATAATGTCTTATGGACTTACACCAGCCTATCTTTCAGTCTGACTTTATTTGTACTCTCCTTCATGGACCTGCTCATGAGCATCTAAAAATCAGCCCAAAAAGGTGATTTTTGGTTGTTGTTGTGGTTCTGTCCCTTAAGTTAAGGAATGGGCTGCCAGCCTCTATATCATGTTAGTCAAGCTCATTCACTTTTGTCTTTCAAATCTTTTTGAATAGTTCCCTTTCTATATATATATTTTTTTACTTTACTATTTCACTTATTTGATTCACAATGTGTATCATTTAGTCAACCACTTGTTATTTTCTTATGCGATTTATATTACAAGCAGTTGGATTTGATTTTAATATTAGATGAAAGACCAACATACTGGACACAATGATCATAAATAAGAGGCCAATGTTTTGTTTTTATTGTATTTAGCTTCAGTTTTCAAGTTTGACCAGTTTTCCTTCCATGTTCAAGAAAGGCATTCCCAGATCATGAAGCTGTAATTTTTCACCTCAGTAATGTTGTCCAGTCTTATTGGGTATGATTTCCTTTTTCTCCACCGATGACTTTCTGCATTTTGGTCATTAAGTTTTTATTTTGGTTCTCGGATCATATGGATTAAATTCCTCACCAGAATATTCTATGTGAAAATATATTTCTATCAGTTGTAATAATTGTCCCTTTCGGGGTTCCTTACTTTTACCAGGCTTGAGATCAATTTCTAAAGTTAGCTGAATCTGTTTTTAGTGATTTTTTTTTCCTGCTCCTCATTAACTGTTGTAAAAATTAACCCAGAGTTGTCTGATGCTAAGGGAAATCTATTCATCAATTTACAAATTAAACTAGTTCTTTACATATAGCATACGACTCTTCTTACTTATGAAGAAATCCAAGAATGAGAAAACTCTTAGTATTACATTTTAATATAATACTTTTTAAATGTCAAGTACAAATTTATACCAGCTTTAAAACTCAGAATATTAATTAGATACCTATTCTTAAAGGCTTTTTATTTTCAGATTACAGCTTTGATTGGTGATTTGTTTAAGACGTAATTTTACACAGGAAATGAATTAAAACATAAGAAAAACAATAATTGTGAGAAAGGGGAATTTTTATTAGTTTTAGAGCTTTACAGAAAATTGTTTCTGTAATAAATCTTGTGTTTTATTTACACTCAAATGAGGTAAAATGCATAAGAATTAATTAGTTAGCAGGTTGAAAAAAGAAGGTCACAGATTACACCGCTATTAACTACAAGTGCCTTTAATAAAGATGTTCCAGAACAAAATAAATAACTTTCCATATTAAAGAAAAGACCCTTCGTTTTTATTCATGAGGATGTTTCCCTATAATTGTTTATGTTATTTCAAAGATGAAGATCATCTGACTGGTGTTACGTCATTTAAGGCGTTCATGTCAGAATAGGTACATGCTGGGTACATAAACTGCTGCTCATTTTTAGACGATCCTTCCCTGAAGCAATGGACGGCTCTCTCCCGGTGACTGTCGACTCAACAGGTTCCACAGCAGCAGTGGGACAGATGTCACAAAGCTGCCTCCATTACCATTATCCTCCCTCAGAGGCTGGTACTGCTTGAACCGTCTGTTTAGAAACATAAGAAGACATGCACAGTGAGTTTATAAGTAAAAGAAAATAGATAAAAAAAAAAAAACAGGCATCATAAATCATAAGGTAAAGAGTCTCTCATGAGTGAATAGGATCAGCTTAAAGTGAGAGAAGGTTTCGTTGTTAAATAATTTTATCAGTAAGATATAGTTTTTACAACTGTTGAACTAGTGTTTAAATTCCACTCTTATTATGTCTAAACAAGTACATTCTGCTATCATTTAAGAAGTAGGATGGCAGTATAGATATCTGCGAATAAGAACTCCTTTATGTGAGCAGAGAGCAGCAATCGGAAAAGATCCAGGGACCTTTTAGGACACTCCTTATCTAAAGAATATTGCTCTCTATCCAGCTGCTTCCTCTACTCTGCTATAAATGTAAAAGATGGTACCGTTATTTTTTTCATATTTTCCGTGCCTTTAAATTGCAATAGCTTTATTTTCTATTTAGTGGATTTTAAAGAACAGTTTCTTTTGTTCTAAAATGTTTTGGAATTTGATATAATCTAATTGGACAACATGCTGTCCCTCTGATGTCACATGCTGATAAGACTGTTTTTGAATTCAACCCCTGTCGTGAAAGAAGAGATCCCAACCTCCAAAAGTGTGGAAACTTCAGAGCTGCAGTTTGAGCCTTGAAGCCTTGAGCTAAAAGTCAGCTTCACCTGTTGCAGGTACTGCCTTTTGATTTTAACAGATGGGGAGACTGTAATCATTGAC